AAGGGCGAGGAGTCCTGTGGCACCTTAGAGACTAACCGAAGTGTAGGAGCATCAGCTTTCGTGGGCAAAGACCCACTTCGTCAGATGCATGCACATGTCTTTGCCCACGAAAGCTGATGCTCCAACACTTCGGTTAGTCTAGAAGGGGCCACAGGACTCCTCGTCGCTTTTGAAGGTTATATAGAGAGGCACAATGTCAAGTCATATGCAGCAATATAGAATATATATTGCTTCGTATAAATCTATGTAATACATAGATTCATCTACACCTGCCCCGGTGAGAACCAGCTGGGCCATGGTCTACTGACATGGGGGCCCCAGGGCACGCCCCACCGCTGGGCAGCGCTCACAGACACGGGCCAGCAGGGGTCGCCCCAGCCCACAGCAGCCCGGCCCCTTCTCCGGACCCCCAGGCCTGGGGCTGCCCCCCCTTTTAGCCCCAGGGTTTGGGGGGAGGCGTCCCCCAACCCCCACCTGGTTCGCTCCTCCGCCCCCAGTTCCTAGTTCTCTGGCTCTGCGGGCCGGGTGCCAGATCCTGTATCCTGCTGGCCGATGACCCGGCCTGGCCCCATATAACCGGCCCCGGAGCAGGAGGAGGCTCAGACGCTTCCACCTCTGCAGGGACCCACAGCCGCCTCCCCGGCCAGAGCCCAGCCCCGCACTCGGTGAGTGACCGACCCTGCGGGGGTCAGCGGGGTCCCCAATAGTCGCCGTGCGGGTCACCTGCTGCTCTCCTGAGTGCTAGTGGCTAAAGCCGGAGCAGCTGGGAGCCAGGACGCCTGGGTCTGTCGCTGGCTCTGGGAGGGGAGTGGGGTCTAGTGGTTAGAGCATTAGGCTGGGAGCCGAAACTCCTGCGTCTGTCCCTGGCTCTGGGAGGGCAGTGGGGTCTAGTGGTTAGAGCAGGAGGCTGGGAGTTGTGACTCCTGTGGGGTGTGGTGGTTAGAGCAGGAGGCTGGGAGCTGGGACTCCTGTGTCTGTCCCTGGCTCTGGGAGGGCAGTGGGGTCTAGTGGTTAGAGCAGGAGGCTGGGAGCCGGGACTCCTGCATCTGTCCCTGACTCTGGGAGGGCAGTGGGGTCTAGTGGTTAGAGCAGGAGGCTGGGAGCCAGGACTCCTGGGTCTGTCCCTGGCTCTGGAAGGGCAGTGGGGTCTAGTGGTTAGAGCAGGGGCTCAGGACAGATGTCACCTGGAAAAGGGAGCGGAGGGCTGGGCTGAGCCCTGGGGCAGGTGTTCCCAGCGGCTGGGCTCTGGGCTGCAGAGGGGCTCAGCACTGGGCAGGGGGGCTGGGCCAGGCCTTAGGGGAGGGAGGCTCCAAGCTCAGGGTGTGTCACATCCGGCCGGCCTCATGTCAGTGCGGACGTGCTAGCTCCGAGCAGAGCCCAGGCCACGCCGAGGAGCGGTGGGTTTCACTGACTCTGGGGAGTCGTCGTGGGGAGAGAGCAGCGAGGGAGCCTCCGCGCTGGCAAGAACGATTTCGAAATGAGCGTGAGTCCACGAGGGGAGCAAGAGTTCAGCTTTCTAAACTACCAGCCTGTTTCCTTGAAGCAGTGGCCTTGGGAGTGTGGCTGCTTCCTTTATTACATTGAAATAAGTCCCTAGTGCAGACCAGTTAGGGGGATAGGACAGAGGGCAATATAACCATGAGTGCTGTGGAGACAGTGAATACGGAAAAGTTCTTTATTTATTCCCACAATATAAGAACAGGGGCTGGCAAAGGGAATGAACAGGCAGCAGGTTTAAAGCAAACCAAAGGAGGTTTTTCTTCAGCCAGCGCACAGTTAACCTGTGGAACTCCTCGCCAGAGGATGTGGTGAAGTCCAGGACTTTAACAGGGTTCAAAGAAGAGCTAGACGGATTCATGGTGGTTAGGTCCCTCGATGCTCATTAGCCAGGAGGGGAAGGGTTGGTGGCCCTGGCCTCTGTTTGTGTGGAGGTGAGGAGCAGGGGAGGGATGATGCGGGGATCCCCTGTTGTGTTCCCTCCCTCTGGGGCCCCCGGCAGACAGGCCCCTGGGCTGGACGGGCCGTTGGTCTCACCCAGTCTGGCCGCTCTGCCAAGGCGAGTTGCTGTGGTTCAGTCCCTCACGGCGACAGGCTGGGGTGGCCCAATAAGAGACCCCAGGCGCTGGGCGTCCCTAAATCTCGGACCGTGAGAACCCGGAACTGGACGACTCTCGTGTTTCAGGCCGTAACTGCCCCGGTCAGGACTCGCTGCCGGACGCTCCGGGCCGGGCCGTGGTCAGAAGCCAGGTGCTAGCCCGTGGGGGAGC